GAAGATGTAAAACTTTGGTTCCAAGTGTATCTACAGTTGTTTCTTCCAAGCATTGACTCAAATACATTCAAAATAATTCCTCAAGATATAAGCTGCGATTCTTACCAACACATGTGAGTAAAACATCTTAACTGTCAATTCTTTTGTGCCTTGTTGTTTTAAGAGTTGTGTCTCTTTGTAGAATAAAAGGATGCAACAGTGTTTTTGCTCAACTCACTGACTCACAAAAACAATATGTATACACTTTTATAAGAGATTTTCTATCAGGACATGCTTCCTCAGGTAATTATAAATAAGACATACTATGAATATTTCTTGAAGTGAAATGTATGTATGTATGTTTAATTATTTATTTTTGTTGTAGGTATCTCTTGTGTGGACTCAGTTAATGATGACAGAATTTGGCTTGAGAAAAACATAGGTCGATTCAGAACACAAGCATCTTACATAGACCTTTTGGCATTTAAGAATGATTTTAAGGGCGTAAGTTGCTTTAGCTGTAAATTACTCTTATCATGTCTTTGTGTACTTACCACAACCTTAGTATTATTAATACATTTTTACTCTTTCAGGTGGAAGTTGTAGATCTTCTTACTTTCAGTCAAATAGTTCAGTTGGCATCCACTCCCAAACAGCTTCAAAGTAGAGAAGATGTAACAAAAATTATGACTGTAATAAGCCCTGAAGATTTGAGTAGTTTCTTTGACAGAGTGTCACCTGCCATTCAGGTAACATTTGAAAAGCCAAAAAGCATTTTTTTTCTTCAGTAACATATTAGTTACTGTAACATATTGACTCTTCTGGTTGTTTCAAAATTGGCCTATTAATTTATTAGCAGTAAAATATAAATCTATATTTTCTATATTCTATAATTCTTTAGTATCTGTTCTTTTAGACATACATTTAGTCTGATGTCTATATTAGTATTAGTCTATTTGTTAGCCTTGGTTCTATATACCAATAAAACAAAAATGAATAATTTCTCTTACCAATTAAACAACCTTTTGCAGATATTCTGTAGTGTTTTATAAGGCCAGCTTACCCTAGGCGCTTATGGGTAATGAGAATTTGCAATAGACATTTTAAAAAGACAATATTTTTATACAGTTCATATTGTATAATTAATTGTGAGTTGTTTAGGTGTTATCATTATTATTATTAAACAAAATTAAATGACTATATTTCCATATCTCAAATTTTACCAGATGCACCAAGCCAACTACACAGAAGAGGTCACTTCGGCCCTTCTTCAGACAGCACTGGACAAGGCCAATTTATCTTCTCCATTGATCAGTGACCAGGACTATGTCTTATGGCTGGATGCTCGACTGAAACCTCTTCTTGTTAATCTCTCATTCGCCCTTGTGACACCTTTGTTTGATACTGTTAAAGGCCGGTCTTGTAATGTTAGCCAATACATGTAAGATTTTTTGTTGTTTTATTCATTTAATTGTCCAATTAAATTAAATATTAACTATGTAAAATAACACAATTACATTTAGGTTTACATTACTGGACACACTACGCTCATCACTGAGCCAAAACACTCAAGATGAGATCAACAAAAACATCTTTCTCTTCCTCCAAGGTTTGCATATTTATTTACTGGCAAAATGTGTTTGTGTAAGAAATTTCTCTACCTTATCATTGTTTCTCTTTTTAAAGCAGGACCGAGGCCCATCAGGTGTTATGAGGGAGGAAGCTTCTATAGCTTTTTGAAAAACACTTTCCTCAACTTTGGCTTTCCAAATCTGTCTATGTTCTTGTCTTTGCTGCCTAAGGAACATGAGGCAGAGGTACTCAAGAGGTTTCAAAAGTCTTCTTCACAAATATAATCAAAATTGTAACTAAGTTTATTTTTCCTATAGCTTCTAAATACAATCACCCCATCAGAGCTTAGTCAGTTCCTCAGTCAACCTAATGTGATCGGAGATGCTGAAATCTGTGAAATCTATAGTAATTACAAGAAGACATCAGAGTTCCTGGAAAATGTAAGTTGTTTGTTTGTTTTTTTTATTCTCATACTGTTTATATACACCTGCCTCTCAATATTATGTACATTTGTTTCTATAGCAAGATGTGCCTGATGATGTGAAGTTGAAGACTCTTCCTTGCATTTGGCCCTTGGCTCTGAGCAGCAAGAGCAGGTCAGACGCTCGCTTGTGGTTTGACTTACGTCTAAAGAACTACTTACCATTCCTCAAAAAGAACCTTATCAGCTCCACTCAGTTGAAGAATGCATCTTGTTTCGGTTTCCAAAAATTGTAAGTCAGTAGAATATATAATTCTAATGAACCAAACTGTTTAACAAACTGATCTTTCTCCTTCCTAGCATCTCTGTAATGGGAAACAACTTCACCTACAACAGCACTGAGTTTGTAAAAGAAGATGTCTACAACAGTATGAGGATCTATTTGATCCCTGGTGAGACTCTGGCCCAACTATATAATATTGACTTTAGAATAACAATAAATAAATAAATTCAATGTTGTTTCATTATTAGATTCAGGTATCAAGTGTTACAATGCCAGTGACGCAGAACTAAACTCAAAATCCTGGTTCGTTGACAACATTGGCAGCTTTATTGTATTTGTCGCTCCAGCTGATCTCGAGGTCTTCATTCCATCTAATGAAGTGGCACGATTTTCTGGAGTTTCAGGACTTTAATTGTTAAACATACTTTGTCATGTTAATTGTGTTTTTTCTCTTTTCTTGACTCTTTAAAAGGGTGGCCAGTTCTTTGAGGACCCAGCCAATCTCAAGCTTTTCAATAACTCAGCCATATCACAGAATGTAAAAAACGCCTATGTATCTCTCTTATTTGTATACAACCCAACATATAGTGTGGTCAGGTAAGCGAATAAGACATGCAAAAATAAACAAGCAACAAATTGTATCATTTATATATATATATACATTCTTCCAATATCTATTATGTGTAGGCTTCCAGAAACATTTTTGTGCTCACCTGACATCCCAAGTTCAGCATTTACCACCCTAAATGAAGCAGATACTGTGTATATCTTAGGCCTGCTCAAAGAATTCTGCAGTGGAGCAGTAGATCCAGAGGTAAGAGTATGTTTGTACATGGGGAATCTAAATTTCTGCCAGTGAATTGTTACTGATTTGAAGTGTTCTGCATGTATTTAGAAAACTATTGATTTGTGAATGTATGTGTGAATTCACTGTTTGAGCACTTGCAATATCAAAATCATCAATGAATTACACATACAATCAACTTTGAACCTTTGCAAAAAGAAGAAGAACAAGTGGCTATACGTGGATATAACTATTTGTGTGTCTAGGTAAATGCAGCGCTGGTCTCCAACTTCAAAAGCTTCACTGTGAAGATATTCACAACCTTGGGCCAAGCCAGTGGAGGCCTGAGCCCCACCCAGATCTTCTCTGTTCCAGCTGCTGTGCTTGTAGCCTCCCTCAACACTCTAGGCTCGGTCAACACCTGGAATCAAGAGCAGGCTATGACGATTATTCGAACTATGTCAGCATCAGGCTACAAGGTTAATTGAAACAGTGTTTTTTTTAAGTTATTGTTTATTATTTGAGCTGCATTTTTAAAGCGAAATATGACACTCTATCAAACAGATCAACACAGGTTCATCTCTGAGTTCACTGGGCACCCTTGTCCTTGGTGTTTCCTCTGAAACAATAATAAACATTCCCTCATCTGAGCTTCTCAGCATCTCCAGAGACGCTACATTTGTCAGCAATATGCTACGAGCTCCACCAGTTGTCCAGGGCGCCTTTGTTCAAAAGGTAAATTCAACATAAAGCATACTGCAAGACACTTTTGCACTTTAAATGTCTAATAAAGAATCCAAAATGGTCATAGATCATAACAGTGGATCAGACTCCAGCTGTTGTGGTGCAGAATGTGCCTGATGAATTAGCAACTCAGATCCCAATGACCACTCTGTTGTTGACATCTGAAACTCTGGACGTCAACCTAGTAAACAACAAAACATGGACTCAAGAACAGGTACACTAAACATAATCAAATGTTGTATTTCATTGCTAATAACAAATGATTCAAATATTTCTTTGTTTTTATACTTTTCTCAGGCGGCAATGTTTTTTGAACAAGTGTCCACATCAGATTTTGACACAGAAAAGTAATCTTCTTTAACTTTATCTTGTTCATCTGTTTGTGTTACATTTTCCAAGTACTCAGAGTTTGGTTTCTCTCCAAAAGGCTTTCTCCCTCCGTTCTGCGAGGCTTCACATGCACAACGGTTCGTAAAGCAACTGAAACTAAAATCAAGAAGCTTGTCCGTGCATGTAGGCGAAGAAACGGTCGGTCTAAAGTTGTACTAACAGAGCCTCAGGTACTTCCAACAATATGTCAAAAGTATTTAAGAAAATAAACTCAAGTATACTTTATATTTCTTAATGTCTTTTCCAGTTGACCTGCATGTACAACCATCTTAAAGGAAATCTCACCCAAGACTTCACAGAATATCCATCAGACCTGCTCCTTTATTTTAAGTGAGCATAATACATTTTATGATTTAGTTTACCATACAGTGACATACATGTTTGACATATGTGTCTGCATGTGTTTATTACAGTGCCGATGATGTTGAGAGAACCAACTGCAGGTCATACTTTTCAGCTATTGGTGAAGCTGATTTTAGTGTCCCCTCCAGCATTTTGAACAAACCACAGCAGATATTCAGTGACGCTCGGAAATGCTTGGTAAGGCCACGGTTTACAGAGTTTTATTTCATTATTTCTATGTTTATATTGATTTTAGCTGCATATGTTTGTCCTCTTTTTTGTCAAATATTTCTTTCCTTATTCTCGTATTCTTTTGGTATAGAAATATTAGACATAATGAAAGACTAGTAAGTGTAGTTGCAGTTTTGTTTCATATAATTCACATTTAATACATTTTTTTGATGTTTTGTCTATCTAGGGAATACGTGGTACTTCCCTGAGCAAAGACAACGTTATGGTTCTTGGGAACTTGACCTGTATGCTAGACAGTTCTTACATCCAGAACTCTGACCCGTACATCCTGGAAACACTCAAATCATGTAAGGACTTCTCTGAGAGCCAAGTGGCTGCAATCGAGACCCTGCTGCTGTCTGGAAAAACACCTTATGGGTACAAATTTTTTATTTCTTCATAATATATCCACACATTTTTCTAGTGGTGGAATATAATTATTAAGTGTGTTAATCATATATTTTTGTTATAGAATTGTAACCACATGGGATGAAGAAACATTGCAAAACCTGGCACCTCTACCTCTGTATTTCACAAGAAATATCTGGGGAAACTTCAAACCTGTAAGCATTTGACCAGTCAGATTTAATCCTTTCAATCAATATGTTTCCTTCATTTTTCTCAAATGCATTTTTTTTAATGCAAAATATATTTCCTTAGAAAACAAAGAAAAGGTTTTTGAAGAGCTTTATGCCCAGACTGAGGAAATCTAAGACGGAGAAGAAAAAACTTAAAGCACTTTTCAAAGAAGTCAGTGCACACAGAGTGACACGAGGAGCAGGTAAGGCATATGATTACTGTGGTTGTATATTTTATTCAGTTAAAGATTTCAATAAAACATATATCAATATATTTTCTTTACAAGGGTGCACCGTGGGTAACATCACTGCGGTGACCGTTCAAGACCCCGCCTTCCCGTTCGACTATGATCTAACCCAGTTTGATCTGTGTTTGGACATTCCTGTCCTGAAAGATAACCTGAACTCCATTTGTGAAAAGGTTGATGACGATGGCTTCCAAAAGATCATACTAAGAAAACTTAATGAGGTAAATCTCTTTTATTAAAATTAGTGCTGTCATGTGATTAAAAAAATTTAGAGATTAATTAATTATGATCTGTAATTAATTAATCTAATTAATCTCTTTTTAATCTCACCTAAAAATTGCTGAGAAAAGCCTTCAATTTGAGGTATTTTCATTTAAATTCATTATTACATTATTGTGGCAGATCAAAAGACTCATATAAAACAAAAAAAAAGTGACTTTATAAAGTCATTTATTGTTTAACAAATCTCTCCAAATTGGCTGTTGAGCCCAAGTCTCCATGAATAAGAAACTGTTTGCTGTAAAGTAGCAAAGACGAGGAAATCTGAACATAATAACTTTTGTCTACTTAAAGACAATAAAAAGTCCAGTCTTTCCTTAACCATATTAAAAATATTATTGATAGAGAAATGCTTTATATATGAGATCACTGGTTTTAGTCCTGGTTTAGACCTGCTTTAGTCCTAGTTTAGTCCTGGAATGGGTTAGTCCTGGTTTTAGTCCTGGTTTAGACCTGGTTTAGTCCTGGTTTAGTCCTGGAATGGGTTAGTCCTGGTTTTAGTCCTGGTTTAGACCTGGCTTTAATTCTGGTTTTAGTTCTGGTTTAGTCCTGGTTTAGTCCTGGTTTAGACCTGGACTGGGTTAGTCCCGGTTTTAGTCTTGGTGTTAGTTCTGGTTTAGAGGCGCACAGGAGGAAGCGCGGTTTACACAGCGTACGCGAGAAAACATACGCGGCGCACGGGAGCACGTCGGTGTCCGCGCAGTAACTACGGAAAGAAACGTGGTCCGCGCTTTCTCAGGTTAATGACGATGATGAAGGTGTGTGTTTGTGTGTATTTGTGTGTGTTTGTGTGCGTGTCCCCTCATGTGGCAGGTCACTATAGGACAGTAGTGCAGACATCATGAGCCTATGCAGGTTGTTTTCACCAGTGACATTTAAGTTGTAGGCGATTTTATATTTGTTATTTTCATTTATATTTCACGTCGGGAGAATAATTTCCAAGACACGAATGTGTTTTTACCTGTGCACTGCTGACTCTGTTCTACTGGCTCTTTGACCTCGTCCATTGTGCAACGTTAACATGACGTTTACATTGCTCTTACTGCGCGCGTTTTGTGTGGGTTTCCGGCAATGAGTGGAATTACCGAAATAAAAAAATATATAAATGTGTTTTTTGTGTGTGTGTGTGTTGTTGTCCCAACAACACATAAAAACAGATTTTATAATAAAGCAACTCGCATACAGAAACAGTAAAGTTAGAGATTAAAAATGAGATTAACGCGATTAAAAAACATAACGCACTAAATGTGACTGTAATTAATTAATCGCAATTAACGCGATAATTTTACACCCCTAATTAAAATAAACCATTTCTGTTGCTCTGGATGATTCTAACTCCTCCTCGTATCTCTTCACAGGCCTACCCTGCTGGTGTTTCTGATGAGAATGTCCAACTGCTGGGCTCAGTCTCACGCACTGCCACTCTCGACGACATCTCCAAGTGGAACATCACCACAATAGACACACTGTCCTCTCTCATGAGGACTGAGGATGGGCCATGGGAAGCAGCAAAGGTACAAATTCAAAAAACATTTAATAAAATATTTGTTTTGAATTAAAACCATAACATGGTTTGTCCTGCATTTCAGAGCAGAGCTGTTATCACCAAGTACCTGAATACATCAGGGAATACTCTGGGCCCCTCTGAACTGAATGCTATTGACTCTAACCTGTGTGCATTAGACACCACTACACTGAAAACCATCACTCCAGAAAATCTCGGGTTCATATCCAAACTCTCCTTACACTCAGAAATATAAGAAACAAATTGACTTTACTTTTACTATTAACTATTTTATTTGCATTATGTTTAGGAAAGCCAAGTCCCTGAATGTGACGTCCTGTTCACCTGAGCAGAAGAAAGTCTTGTATGAGATCAGTAACATTTCCTTCAGCTCATATCGTGATAATTCAACCTCCTATTTCAACCTAATAAAGAACTATCTAGGTAAATAAGCCCTATCTTGTTTAAGTTATAGAGTCCATAATGTTTTTGTTTGGTTATTTTACTCTTTTACTTTCTCTAGGTGGAGCCCCTCTGGCAGACATCCAGGCACTGTCCACCCAAAACATCAATATGGACATCAGCACTTTCCAGAGTCTCGACCCGAATGTTATTAATGTAAAGAAATTTCACTTTTCAATCCAACTCAACGTCTTTGCAAGAAAAAAAAAAAATCATACAAGGAAAGGTGGGAGATATATTGAAAAAAATGTACAAAATAGCAATTGTTCTGAAGATTAGAATGATGATTATACAAGGGTAAGATCATATTTTTCTATGGTCCATTCCCTTTTTGTACTTGAACCTCAACCAAGACATTAATAAGCACATTTTAGCATATTCCTGATGCATTTTTATAATATTGTTAATGGGGTAATGCAAAAAAAAAAAAGCTATATACATTTTTGTCAGTATCACCCACCCTTACATCTATGGGTCCATGATAAATAGATTAGAGTATTTGAAAAGGCATCCAATTCATTTTCATTTTCCTCACCACAAATATACCTGGAGTTGTGTTTTGTTTCACTGTCACACATGTTTAACACACAAACCTCGCGTATTTAGTCTGAGTTCTTCTCTCAAACTTGTGATGTCATGTGGTGATATAGGAAGTGCCCCACTGGGTTTTAAAACTCCATACACCTTCACTAGAATCATTTAGATAATTGCAGCTCTGGAATTCCCAATCTATACTCAACTAAAAGTAAAAGGTAGCTGCTGAAACTTGAAACTTCAAAACTACCACTACATGACATCATCATATCAGAGCTTTTTGAGCTTTGGAGATGTAGACAGACTTATAATAAGCTATTGCTCAAATATGTGTGAATGAAACAAGACACAGCTCCAGTTATGATTTGATGAGGTAACATTATAAAATAGCAAAATTGACTTAAATTTTTGTGGAATAGAGGACCTTTAAATGTGTATATGTATGCTGAACATGTGTTAGTTAGAAAATCCTGAAGTGAAATAATATTGCTCATGTAAGAGGGGTGTAACAATATTCAAGTCTCACAATACGATATCGTCATGGTATGAACCTCACTGTACGATATTTATTGGGAACTAAATAAATGGAATATAATAAATGAGGAAAGCTCACGATATGGTGGAGAGGCTCACGATTAGAGATGCAACGATATCCAAATCTCTCGGTATGATATTTTCAGAATATACATCTCACGGTATGATGTTTTGTGGAGGCTAAACAGTTAAAACTGTTAATATGATACTTTTTCCTCTTGAAATGCCTTGACAAGATGTAATCTAAAGAATTAAGACTTAAAAGTCCTCAGAACTGTTATTTCTTCATGTAGTCTACCCTGAAATGGAGCAAAGGATCATGGTCTATGTAGTTCCCTCTGTCTTTTTTTTTAGCTATCGCTGCACCATAACTCTTCATTTAAGCAAAGAGACTTGTAATTCAATATATTGTGATGGTCCATGATATTATTGTGAGAAGTTTGAGGATACGATTTCACAATATTTCATGTAACATCTTGTTTGTTGTTTTAATTGCTTAGAAACTGACTGTCAGTGAAGTGCAAGGCCTCCTGGGAAGCAATGTGGCAGACCTGAAGACCTTTGAGAATGCCCCTGTGATAGAGGCCTGGATCAACCTGCAGAGACAGGCTGATCTGGATACACTTGGTTTAGGCCTTACAACGACCAGAGTTGACCCCACCAGTCCAACACCAGTCACAAACTCTACCGTGACCAACACATCGTCAAACACCCCTGCCACTAACACGTCCTCAATTACCCCTGCTGCCAACACGTCATTGAACACTCCTGCTGCCAACACGACGTCAATTACCCCTGCCACCAACACGTCATCGAATACCCCTGTCCCTGCCACCAACACGTCATCGAATACTCCTGTCCCTGTCCCTGCCACCAACACACGTCATCGAATACCCTGTCCCTGCCACCAACACGTCATCGAATACCCCTGTCCCTGCCACCAACACGTCATCGAATACTCCTGTCCCTGCCACCAACACGTCATCGAATACCCCTGTCCCTGCCACCAACACGTCATCGAATACCCCTGTCCCTGCCACCAACACGTCATCGAATACCCCTGTCCCTGCCACCAACACGTCATCGAATACTCCTGTCCCTGCCACCAACACGTCATCGAATACCCCTGTCCCTGCCACCAACACGTCATCGAATACTCCTGTCCCTGCCACCAACACGTCATCGAATACTCCTGTCCCTGCCACCAACACGTCATCGAATACTCCTGCCACCAACACGTCATCGAATACCCCTGTCCCTGCCACCAACACGTCATCGAATACTCCTGTCCCTGCCACCAACACGTCATCGAATACCCCTGTCCCTGCCACCAACACGTCATCGAATACTCCTGTCCCTGCCACCAACACGTCATCGAATACTCCTGCCACCAACACGTCATCGAATACTCCTGCCACCAACACGTCATCGAATACCCCTGTTCCTGCCACCAACACGTCATCGAATACTCCTGTCCCTGCCACCAACACGTCATCGAATACTCCTGCCACCAACACGTCATCGAATACTCCTGTCCCTGCCACCAACACGTCATCGAATACCCCTGTCCCTGCCACCAACACGTCATCGAATACTCCTGCCACCAACACGTCATCGAATACCCCTGTCCCTGCCACCAACACGTCATCGAATACCCCTGTCCCTGCCACCAACACGTCATCGAATACCCCTGTCCCTGCCACCAACACGTCATCGAATACCCCTGTCCCTGCCGCCAACACGTCATCAATTACCCCTGCCGCTAATACGTCATCGAACACTCCTGCCACCAACTCCTCTGCCGCCTCTACTCCAGCACCAGGTAAGTGCTTTGAGTCCAAGTATCTTTATTGAGCCACAAACTAGTTTTGTCCCTCATGAAAACTCACAGAAACACTATTCTCACACTTCATGATCTAACTTATTGCACTGACTATTAGCAATGCAACAATAACAGTGATGTGATTATTTGACGATATCCTAATCCTAAAAGTCATATGCCAGAAAGCTTTGTTGCTGCAGGCTGAGGCAAAGAAAACTTGGATCGTTTTATGTGCAGAGTAAACAGTGGTTATGCCCTTGGGCAAGACATAAGCTGTAATTATATGCTGCACGTCTTCTACTTAAAACATTGTATTTATGATTTTTTTATGTAAACCAAATTATAATTGGAGCTATTGTTGAAGCTAAATTATTTTTGTCTCTATAAAATTATTTTCTAATATTGGGTGTGTGTAATAATTTGCTTCCTTTTAATGTACAGAAAGCACTAAGATAATGAATTATGTATTTACAGGGAGCTCTGCTACAAGTAACCAAGCAACTACAACCACAACAAATCCAACCGCAACAGTAAGTAATCAGGTGACTACAACCACAACAAGGCCCACAACTACAGCAGGTAAGCAACAGTCAAGTTTGTGATACTTCATAAATAAATAAATATTATTAAAACTAAAAACATATGACATTTTTCTAGCTAACAACACTGCAAGTGGAGGACTGCCCTCATCCCTCTTCATGGTTGTCCTGCTGATCAGTTTACTTCAGCTACATATTGTTTAACTGTCTTTTCTAGCTTGTTTTACACATTTATGTTTTTCTTTGTTTCCTGTTTTAGCTTTGATGTAATTATTTTATTGTTATCTATATAATTATCATAGTGTCTAATTAATGTATTTTTTTCATTTTTTTTTTTAATTTTGATTTGATTTTGATTGATGATTGAAAATTACCATCATAGGGAAAACAAAGCTAATGAACAGAAAAATATCTATAATAACATACAATTCATCTACAACACTAAGAGAATAAAATTATTTACATACTTTAAAATACAAAAATCGTTTTACACTTATGTACTGAATTAATCAATGAATCACACAACAAATCATGTACTTTCCTTTCAAATTAAACTTTATTGCAAATATACGTGTGTATAAAGTGTGGTATGTGTCTGGCTCATATAAAGACATAGTACCAAAGAAAGAATATGGCTTAAAGCATATAGTTAAAAATGTTATAACATGTCACATTCTGCAGGGCCTTTTTGCGTTTGTGGTTTATGATCACGGCTCCAGGCAAACTGCAAGGTATAGCTGCGTTATGGAATTCACCACAAAGAAAGTATGCCCATTATGTGTACATGGAGACATACAGCCACTGCAAAAAAGATAATTTAAGGGGAAAACATTAACATAAAAGTAACTAATATAATCAAATCTATTACGTTTCTCACCTCTGACTCTCGGAGTGTCATTGTCATCCCATTGCACAACTTACTGAAAATTTCTAGAAAAAAGGAAATGGAGAAAAAAAGGTTAGGCTCACATCTGCTAATTTTCAAACAACATCACAACATTCTGAAAGGGAGAAGGGGGGTAGATCATGTCACTTATATAAATAATTAGACTCAAAAAACTGCATCTTGGATACTTAAAGACAACACAGTAAATGGGTTTATATGACTCCTGCCTCTCAGCTGCATTTACAAGTGTGACAACAGTGTTACATGCACATTGTACACCAAAAATCCAATCATTATCTGATGTCTTGAATGATCAAATTACTAATAGCCTACATCTACATGTGAGTAATCTAATTTCCCCATCTGATATGCAGGTTTTGACAAGGAAAATTATGCAAGAAGGACATAATGTGGCAACAACCAAAAAGAAGAAAATGTTAAAGCTTGAGTTATTTTAAACATTTTTAAAAATCCATTGTACTTTGTTTTCCGCACCAGGTACTTTTGATGATCACATTTTTGTTTGCATTTAAATACAAGCCAAGTATAATATTTAAATGTAGAAATATTTGATTATAGTTATCTGATTTTGACTGGCCTTCAAATTCAATACCCTGAAATAGACTTCGGTTGCCACCAGGGGGCACACATACCCCTGTTATTACATGCTTGGACTACTCACTGGACATGCACTCGTAACGAAGGGCCAGGCTGATGAAATTTTCCAGACTCATGTGACCCGTAGAGGCTCCATAGCGCACGGCCAACAGGTTGAGCATGTCATCACTCACCCTCACTCCTGAAACGTACACATACACAGGGCAGATCTTTGCTCTCTGGATCAAATTTCTCAAGTTATCTTATTGTAGTGCTTGTTTTAGTAAGATGTGGCAAATAAGTCCTCAGTGTATTATGTCAGTCAGTGTATTATGTCTATTCTAGAGTTTTATCTAAAAACAAACTAAATCTAGAATGAAGAGTGGAAGTGGTGGTGTTACCAGTGGTGGCCTATTGCAAATTTAAGTCAATTTTTAAACATATATTTGTAATTTAGTTTTCCATTTACTCAAAAAGTACAACTAGTCTTCTACTGCAATCTTTTAAATTGCAGTAACATGGGTATTTGGAATGAGTTACTTTCCACCCCTTGACTTTACGGTAATTAAAAGATTACCTATAGCCGTGACAGCATTCCTCAGCTCACTCATAGACAAGGTCCCAGTCCTTGAAACATCAGTGCGGTAGAAAATGTCCTGATTGAACACAGTATATCTGTTATGAACTTAACTGTGATCAAATTTGCTCGCACTTTTTTCTTTTTACCTTGAATGTAGTGATTTTCCTCCATAAACAAACAAATTCCTCACTATTCAGTTTACCAGTTATAGATGTCTTGTTATTATGTCAAGGCAGAATATAAGAGAAATCCAGCTTATTTTTTTGTTTGCATTCAAAAGGATACATCCAAGAGAGCGACCATGCTGCGACAGGCATCCACACTGAAGCCCCCAGATTTCAAGTCTCCTGGAGAAGTGGATGACATAAATTGCTGTTGTTATTTCTGGGAGATCGGAAAATTGTTTTTACGTTTTATACCTTTGAGGATGTTTTCATTCAGAAGCATCTGGAGGTGCTCTGCGTCCACCTCCTCATACTAAAAACAAAAAAAACAACCACAGAATACAGGGTTATTATTAGTATATATATGTATTTTTTTGGTATAATGTAGCAAATAATATAGCTGTATGTAAGATTTACATTTTAAATTTCATAATATTGATATATGTGTTTGCGGATTCAAGGTAAATGTCTCATTTGAGTTGCCAGTTTTAATGTTGAAACGCTGTTGTTTTAAATCTAAAAGGACTCTCTCTGATCTTACCTGGTCAGAAAACTGTCGGAATATTGTTCTCTTGTTTTCGTCAATTGTTCCACGTTCTGAATGCTGGGAAATATAATATTATTTATATTATTTCAGTTAAAATGTAGAATTAAAATCAGTTTAATTATTAGATTCAAATGAATAAAGTTAAGCAATATATATGAACAGTTTTCTGACCTCTTCACCCTCCACATGATTGTGATTGTGGCTATTGGAGCTTTCACTGCCAAGAAACAAATACAACATATGCATTAGTGTGCCTCGTATTACTTAGATTTTTTATGCGTTTGAGTTTAAATAACTGACTGGACGTGGGTCTCGGCCTTGGAGACGATGGTCAGCAGAAAAGAAGCAGTCTCATTGGGGTTAAATGTAGACGGTACAATGAGGTACTCTCCAGGCATTAGCATCACAAACTCCATCACCTCTCGAGCATTCATGTATGTTTTGGTCTGAGCCACTGGTTTGTTTGTGGTGAAGAAAGAACCTGGAAACTTCCCTTCAACTCCCATGTACTAGAACATCAAAGAGAAGACATTTAGTGATATTTTTGTGGATTATCTTTTTATGAATAGTTACTCTGCATCGGGCACTGCAAAAATGCTGAATCCAATGTGTAGGTTTTTTACAAGTCGCCTGTTCCTTTTATCAGGTTTTTGCATGAGTGAAACCAGCATATTCTTTTCTCCTTGGTTTGCAGCACATTTGTCAGACAGCCCCTCAATCTTCACACGATACTGTGGATTTGTCCAGAAGCTATCTGCAAAACAGAAGACTTTTACTACTATATAGTTAAATAAGGTGGCCCATTCAAAGTACTAATTATGGGTAAACAGTAGCATGGTGAGCTGAGCTAACACTTACCAAACGCAGCTTATCATATATTGTTTTACAACATAAAGATACATTTTAGTAAAACTGTACTTTACTTTGGAGAGTGTGATTGTAACAGTACCTCTGTTGTTCATGCACCCTCCTGCAGTGGTGCCTGCGACCCATCGACCCTCATAGAAGGAACTTTTCCAATGACAAGAGGAGCTCCCATCCAGAAAGTCTGGACACAGGCAGCAGATGTCCAGGTCTGAGTAGAACCTACAGAAGTCCTCCAAAGTCATCCTTCCACAGCAGGGGGGTTCATCATTAGTTCTACTATTATGGTAGTAGTTGTTTTAATATTCAAATTTAATGTTTACCAAAACTCTCCATCATCAATTACAGCAAGGCACATGTCACGGTCTTGAGGGCTCACCATTTGCCAGAGAGATGACCTACACAGGTATTGGAAGAATATTTGTATATCATACACCACAATTTGCAGTTCATTCATGTGAGTGCAGCCTGTCCAACTGGTTCAGCTCAGTGTAGGTTAATCTTCTCAATCTTGGAAAATGTGTTACTCTTGTGTTAAACATCTTTATATAGCTCTGAAGGAAATCTCTATTTTGCTCTTCTTGTTCTTACTGATCACTCCAGTCTCCTTTCCATTCTCCTGTGCCCCAAGGGTTCCACAAACGTACCAGCTTCACAAGCTGCTTCCGGATCATCATCTAATGAATTGATAAACATACAAGATATAACTGCTAGTGCTATTAACAGAAGATATATTTAAAAGTAGTCTACATACTTCTACATACCTCTCTGACCCCTGTCACCGCATAGGCATGTCCCTCCACCAGTCCATTTGGCAGGACCGTGTTCTCAGATGTTGCCTGTAGAACAGGGACTCATTCATAACAGAACAAAGTAGTGGAGGTTGGTGTTTGTAAAATGTGCCATTTGTACACAAACATAGTACCGCACCCTTTCTGACCACAAACCATTAGCAATGCATTACCATGCTATTTTTGGCTTCATCTATCATCTTAATGTAAAAAGAGGAGAGAATTTAGTCACAAACCCTTTGGACAGGTTTAACAGATTGTTTGGATTAGATCCCCAAGTAAAATACTTTTTTTTTTTCCCCCATTATGTTGAAACTGGTGTCCCTGCTTTTGTTTAATTTACTTGTATGAGTATTGCTATACATATTTGCTCTTATGATCTATGTCTATATTTAGTTTGTATTCTCACTGTATTTAGGCTTCAGTAGGAGTGACTATGTTTACCCCTGGTGGAGTGCCACATCCCATCAGAGACTTGGACTTTCCCGCACGGCACATGAGCTCCCACAGGTTTGGAGGAGGATTGGACAGCTGCACACACATGTGAACTCCACCAGTGAAATCCACCAGAGCCTCAGCCGGGGTCCCTGCATTCATGTCTGAGTAGGAGCCGCACACTCTGACATAGACACAAGGTGATTCCAGTTACAGCTCTCTGAAATAAATATTAAATTAGCAAAACAAACATGCACCATACTTAGCATAGGCTTTTTCTAACAAAGCGGGCCAGAACTCTGTGGGGTCTTTGGAGTGGACAAAGATAAGTCTGCCATTGATTGTGGGGAGTTTGTCATCAATAACAACATCCACCCACCGCCCAAATCTCCAAAACTGAGAGGCACCAGAAAAAGATTTGTATCAGTATTTTGCATTGCATTGCATTGAAGCAAAGTTATAAACAAATGATTTTTACCCTGAAGTGGAACAGACCGCAGTAGTCCTCATCAAATGTCTGATCTGGGATAACCTGAGCCAGGATGTTCTTCTGGAATGTCAGCGCTCCAATGGATGCCAGAAACCAGCAATTCCCTAAGAAGAATGTGTAATTTTGACTAAATATTACTACATATATAACTACATTGTCATCCTATTTCTCAGCACATAAATGATTACATACTTACCCAGTATGCCTTGGCCAAAGTCAAACCTGGAGATTCCATCAACAATAAAAGATGGATTTGGAACAATTTTCTGAAACAGCAATATAGAAATGTGTAAATAATCTAGGATTTTCTGTACTATGCATTAGTGCTGTCATGCGATTAAAAAAATTGAGAGATTAATTAATTATGATCTGTAATTAATTAATCTAATTAATCTCTTTTTAATCTCACCTAAAAAATGCTGAGAAAAGCCTTCAAGTTGAGGTATTTTCATTTAAATTCATTATTACATTATTGTGGCAGATCAAAAGACTGATATAGAACAAAAAAAGTGACTTTATAAAGTCATTTATTGTTTAACAAATCTCTCCAAATTGACTGTTGAGCCCAAGTCTCCATGAATAAGAAACAGTTTGCTGTAAAGTAGCAAAGACTAGGAAATCTGAACATAATAACTTTTGTCTACTTAAAGACAATAAAAAGTCCAGTCTTTCCTTAACCATATTAAAAATATTATTGATAGAGAAATGCTTTATATATGAGATCACTGGTTTTAGTCCTGGTTTTAGTTCTGGTTTAGTCCTGGTTTAGTACTGGTTTAGTCCTGGACTGGGTTAGTCCCGGTTTTAGTCTTGGTGTTAGTTCTGGTTTAGAGGCGCACAGGAGGAAGCGCGGTTTACGCAGCGTACGCGAGAAAACGGACGCGGCGCACGGGAGCACGTCGGTGTCCGCGCAGTAACTACGGAAAGAAACGTGGTCCGCGCGTTCTCAGGTTAATGACGATGATGAAGGTGTGTGATTGTGTTTGTGTGTGTTTGTGTGTATTTGTGTGTGTTTGTGTTCGTGTCCCCTCATGTGGCAGGTCACTATAGGACAGTAGTGCAGACATCATGAGTCTATGCAGGTTGTTTTCACCAGTGACATTTAAGTTGCAGGCGATTTTATATTTGTTATTTTCTTTTATATTTCATGTCGGGAGAATAATTTCCAAGACACGAATGTGTTTTTACCTGTGCACTGCTGCCTCTGTTCTACTGGCTCTTCGACCTCGTCCATTGTGCGACTGACGCCGCAAACGTTAACATGACGTTTACATCGCTGTTACTGCGCGCGTTTTGTTGTGGGTTTCCGGCATTGAGTGGAATTACCGAAATAAAAAAATAATTAATGTGTTTTTTTGTGTGTGTGTGTGTGTGTGTGTTGTTGTCCCAACAACACATAAAACAGATTTTATAATAAAGTAACTCACATACAGAAACAGTAAAGTTAGAGATTAAAAATGAGATTAACGCGATTAAAAAACATAACGCGCTAAATATGACTGTAATTAATTAATCGCAATTAACGCGATAATTTGACACCCCTACTATGCATTACCCTTTGTCATAGACTCACTTGAGGTCTGAGCCACTGCACTTTGGTCAGGTCTGCAGAGTTAAGGATGGTGGGTCCGATGGATCTCCTGTCTGGGGGAAACATGTCATCGATGTAGCGGACCATCCTGATCAGGCAGTACTGCTTGAGCTGCTGATAATCCTGGTTGAGGAACTTCTCAGGGGTATCCAGGCTTCCATAGCCATTTTTAGAGTGCCTTGCATTTAAGATGCTCTGGCATACACCTGATAGCGGCATGGTACTGTGCTGTCAGTGTCGTCCTGAGTCAACAGCGCACAGTGAGTATGACGTTTTAGGACTTGACATTTACCTTCCCAAAAAGTGGGTGGATTCCAAAATCTAAATCCTTTATATAGAAACAAGTGTGTGCATGTGCATGACCTTTACATGTTCAGGCACCAGATATAATAACACTGCCTCTAAAGACACGAAGAGGCACAACAAGTTTCAGAGATTATTGAGATTTTGCAAATGCAAATCTTCTGTCTGTAAATTCCTAAAACCTCAAGTCAAGACGTGTCCTCCCCCACAGTGAATGCTCACAGTTGCTGACATTTAAACATTACTGTACTAGAAGAGTGAAAATGACCTTTGAGAATGGGTGCAGATTGATAAATGGCAGTGCTACACCCACGACTTGACTTCTCTTTGCACTTTTCATTTCAATGATGGCTTCTTTAACAAATACTTTGGAAAACAAGTTTTTATTAAAACTTACTAAAACTGAATGTTTTTACCAGAAAAAAAAATGGATAATGCCTGTTGTCATGAATGTTGTGAGGGTGCTGCAATTTTACTTTTGAACTTATGAACAGGCCTTTAATTTATAAAATGTTTCATTTTTGAGTCTGGTCCAATAAAACATACATCAAAAATTGGCTAAATTGAGATTACAATGAGTCTAGACAATGTAATGATACACAAAAAAGAAGACAGAACATTAAAATGTGTGTAATTACATTTAACACAGATGCTAAATAATTGATTTAGCGCAGATGTTAGAATCAAAATCTCCATGGTTCCACACTTGTGAGTTCTGGGTGCCCTCTGGTTAGGTGTACATGCAAAGGTGCATCCACTGGAAACAAAAAGGTATATGTAAATATACATGTAAACACGAACAAATGCATTCTGTTAATCATTTAAAAACACTCACTTCAGATTCACCAAGAACCATCACATCCCCGTGACACAGCTTATGGTAGATTTCTATCAATATTTAAATGGTATTAGCAAATATGTGATAAGATTAGTATAATTATGATGCAGGTTTACATACTGGACATGCACTGGAGTCGGAGGCTTAAGATTATGAAGCTCTCAAGGCTCATGTGACCGGAGGAGGCACCATAACGCACAGCCATCAGGTTAAGCATGCTGTCACTCACCTTTGTACCTGACACAAACAACACACGAAAAGACTCAAATTATTTCTGCTCACGCATAATCCCACAGAAAATAAAAACAAGTCTGACTGGTTAGTAAGTGTGGACAGGAAGGCTTACATACTGAGCTGAGGTAGAATTTAAAGAGCCCATATAAACATTTTTTCTGATCTATGTATAATGTTTCCTCAGTAAAAACATATCTAAGTTGTGTTTTGTTGGTAATACAGGAAGTGCCCCACTGTGTTTTTAAACTCCATAAACCTTCACTAGAATCATTTGGATCCTTTCAACCAGCTCCTATTGTTTTTTTTTTGTTTTTTTTCTTGCATATAAAAGACCTCATACATGATGGTTTGTACCTGATACCACCATAGCATTCCTCAGCTCACTCAGCGACAATGTTCCAGTTTTTGATACATCCATTTGAAAGAAAATTTCCTGATGAAAACACAAAATGGCTATTAACTTTAAACAACTGATTTAAGAGACATCATACTGTACTGTACTTTGTATTGTGTAGCCTTTTTCCACAATCTAATAAATTCTTCACTGTTTAACTTGCCCGTGATCGATGTCTACAAAACATCAAGGATATGTAACTTTTTTTTTTTTTTTGGACCTTACTTAAAATTGGAAATTGTGACCAAGTCATCACTAAATGAAAAAAAAGGTAAGATAAGCAGGATACATCCATGAGTGCCACCATGCTGCGACAGGCCTCAATGCTGAAACTCCCAGGTTTAATATTTCCTATAAAATACAAACTCAATCAGTTAAGTGTATTATAAGACTTGATCATAGCCATACACACCATCAAATATTTTAGCATTTAGAAGTTTCTGGAGTTGTTCAGCATCTACTTCTCCATCCTAAAGATAAAATGACAGAGAGATTTAGTGAAAAACTTTCTAAAAAATACAGTTGTAGCCTTGTGTGAGGTATAAGTTATTTGTACCTTATCAGCGTACTGGTGGAATATTTGTTTCCAGTTTTCAATTTCATGTGCGTCACGGACAACCTTGACCTGTAAATTAGACTACAGTGATATAGTCTGTAAATGAAAGTATTCATAAAGCAGAGGCATACGTACCTTTTGAATCTCTTCATTTTGAAAATCTGTGGAATTCTCACTGTAGTGTTACACATGACAGGGAAACAAGGAAACATTTTTATGTCAGTGATATCTAGGCTATGACTTACCTTGCACAGCAAGGTGAATTCCACACATATCAATGTGACACACACATCAATTATCAGACATTAACTGTTAACAACACAGGTTTATATTAGTGGTTCAAAATTGAGAGATTATGGTGTTCAGTAATCAGAGTACTTAGAGAAATTCAATTTTGTTAACTGGACAAAGGTATTTTGACCAGATACATTTCTGAAGAAGCAGCTTTGATGAGCTGCAAAAAATATTCAGTCAAAAACTGTTGTCCAGTTGACAAAATTGAATTTCTCCTTTGCTATGGATCCTACCTGGACGACTGAGGGATTTCAAAAACAAAAATAGAGTAAGTAGAGTATTATCACATCTCATCAAAAACACATAATAATAATTTCATACCAGCTGTGGATTTGTGCTTTGGAGCAAATGGTCAGCATGAAGGAGGCAGTTTCATCGGGTTTGAATGTTGAGGGTACAATGACATATTCTCCAGGCTTCAGTGAAAATAACTCCATGACCTCTCGTGCATTCATAAATGTCATTGTTTGAAAAATCGGAGCTTTACTGTTGAAAAAGGAGGCAGGCAGCTTTCCTCTTATTGACTTGTGCTGTAAAGATATTGGGATTAAACCAATGTGCAGACAAGTTGTACATGTAAAGTGACTGGATCCCTTACACTTTCTGTCATCTTGGGTGAATTGTAGATTGAAGAATTCCCACATTAAATGATGAGCATGTAACAGCAAAAAAAAAAAAAGTTATTTTCTTGAGTCATGTTTTATGTGTTTTAACTGCAGATCTCTCGCTTGGATTTTACAGTCCAAGGTAGATCAATATCTTTTTATGACCTTCCAGTTACAGTCTCAACAAACAATGTCTCAGCAAAAATGGACCAACAAAGCTTTATTCATTTCAGCTTAAGGATGTTGTTCAAGAAACACATATTATAGTAAATACCTCAAATACTGAAAATCCAATGTGGAAGTTCTGGACACGGCGTCTGTTTCTTTTGTCAGGCACCTGCATTAGAGACACCAGGATGTTCTTCTCATCACCTTTCAAATTCTTGTCTTTGTCAACCTTGACATGGTACTGAGGATTAGTCCAAAATGTCTCTGTAAAGTAAATACAAACAAATAAAAATAGAAAAACACACTTGAGGAGACACTCAGCTGTTCTGTGTTCCTGATGATGCAACAGCAACCTTGTAATTCAGGGTTATGAGATCTATGAAACTCAGGTTAATGTTTTTGATTCCCTTTACAAGTTCACAGCAAACATAGTTAATTATACAGTCTTTGAATGGCACAGAAATTACTTAATACGACATGTAATGATGATATTGTGTCTGCGTTTATGTTATTAATCATATTGTTGTATGAACCTTTATAGTTTCTGCATCCACCTGCCGTGGTCCCGGCCACCCATTTGCTCTCATACATCTGGCTGGTCCAGTGACTGGATGGACAACCATCCAGGAATGCTGGGCTTGGAGAGCAGATGTCCAGGTCAGTGTACAACCGACAGAACTCCTGGAAGGTCATCCTATAGACAACACACACATACACAAGTTGACACATGCATAACTATATGTGCATATTTGTATGCTCACCAAAATTCCCCATTATCAGCCACTAAATGGCAGAGGTCACGGTCCTGGGAGCTCACAGTCCTCCACAGTGGAGACCTTATGGAGGAACAACACAACTTGAGTACAATATTAAGTTGTGGAACAGATTTTGAAGGTTCTTTTGAGAGCCCTTTTCTTACAGATCACTCCAGTCTCCATTCCACTCCACTCTTCCCCAGGGGTTCCACAAACGCACAAGCTGGACTGGTTTTCCTTGGCTTTGGACCTGGTCAACAGACACCAACAGAGAAGGGTTTTAATTGGTCAATTTAAACTGAAGGTTTTGGAGTTGAATCTATGGATCACCTGTTTTACTCCAGTTACAGAATAGGCATGTCCTTGGACCAGTCCAGTGGGCAGAACTTTGTTCTCCTAAGACATAAACATATAACATATAGTGTATGACATGATACAAGTACCCCTCTAATGGCTGGGAGAGGCAGTTACCCCTGGCGCTGTGCCACAGCTCATTAGTGATGTGTATTTGCCTGCTCGGCACATGAGCTCCCACAGGTCTGGAGGGGGCTCAGAGAGCTGGAAACACAAGTGAACACCTCCAGTGAAATCCACCAGGGCTTCAGCAGGGATCCCCGCCTTCATGTCAGCATATGAACCACACACCCTGCCACACATCACACACTGGTAAAACACATAGTACCCCTCAACAAGACAAAACAGGCCACTTTGCACTGACACGTACTTGGCATAGGCTTTCTCCAGCAAAGCTGGCCAGAACTCATTTACACATTTAGAATGCACAAAGATCAGTCTTCCGTTCAGTGTGGGTAGTTTGTCATCAATCACCACATCTATCCATCTGCCAAACCTCCAGAACTGAAGAATAGACATGCATTAGACAGGGGCTATAAGATATAAAACAATGATGAGCTTACCCTAAAATGAAAGATTCCACAGTAGTCATTGTCAAAGCTCTGTTCCAGTGGGACCACCTGCTTAAATATCTGATCTTGAAATGTCAGTGATCCAATAGCAGCAAGAAACCAGCAGTTACCTGAACACAAGGGTGACTATTTCAATAACTGATTACATGAAATAGTACGTTACATGACGATTTCCAAAGTTGTACCTAATATTCCTTGTCCAAAGTCAAACCGAGAAAACCCATCTACAATTAGACTTGGGTTAGGACACATTACCTGAAAAGATGCAAAAATAACACACTCAAAACACTAACTTAGTCCTGCATTATTTCATTTGATTATTATCCTTACTGTAGGTCTATGCCATTCCACTCGCCGCAGGACATCTGGATTAAGTACCCCCTGACCAATAGTGTGCAGGTCAGGGGGGAAGGTCTTGTCCACAAACCTGACATTGTTTTTCAGACAGTGTTGTTTCAGTTGATTGTAGTCCTGTTTGTTGAACTGGCTCGGGAGTGACACACTTCCATATCCATTTTGTTTTTGACGAGCTTCAATTATGTTCAGACAGACACCAGGGGCAGGCATGGCACCTGCAAAAAAAAAAAAAAAAAAAAAAAAAAGCAAAGGCAAATTAAATGAAAGGTTTTATTCTGCCGGACTGAAAGCACAGAGCAGATATTGCCTCTGAATTGTTTAGTCCTGATAAGACACTGTACTCATAACTCATATACTTATTAACATACACTTACCTCAGGTCTTACCTCAGGCGTTGGCTATGGGAGCACAGTGACCAAGTGCGGCAGGTACGACTGAGCTCTCTTGTTAAACTTGTGTCATGTGTAAACACCCAGGGCAATATCAATCAGCTCTGTTGATCTTTATACTTTCTCAGCTAGAATATGTCAACTAACCACATAGTGCAGGGGTTAAGTCCCATAAAGCGGTACCTGTTCAACACACATTTCATCCTGTCATCATAGTTCTGGTGTAATTTTGCATTGATTTGTGATGGAAATTTATTTTGTGGAAAGATTTCTCTCAATCTGTCTTTGTGTAAATGAATGTGAATTCTTACCTGAGACCAGAGCACCACAGGAAAATATGGATTATGACTGATTAAATTAAAATGGTGATTAGTTAGATCTTTTAGAAACACATTTTTCTTGTAACTAAAACTCGTTTGGTTTGTTAGAAAGATCCTTGAAGGTAAATACTTCTGTTAGCCTTTGCTCACTAATCCATCATAAAGTGACACATGCTTGTGAGTATGTATGCAAATCAGTTCAAGCACACCTGGCAACACCTCAGTAGGAGTCATCACCTTCTCACTTTGAAATGTATGTCCTCCAGTCATCTCAGGCTATATGAACATGGTGCTTTGTAAGATTAGCGATCAAATAGAGTAAGGACATGCTGCTGGAGGACAGGCTGTCGGTCTGTGTCCAGGGCAGGTCTGGGCTCTGTCCATATCTGTTGTAACAAGAATAAACCTTGGTCTATAGTCCAGAAAATCTCTTATTTATCATTAAGAGATACTTAATTTTTTACTCAACACATTAGTTGGTAGCATACTTTATTTATTTATTTGTGTTAAACATTAATCAAAGTCAATAATTTCATTCTGCCTGATACCAAATGAAATGGTAACTTATCAATGATTAACCAGAATGACAGGTAAGGCCAGAAAACAAACACAGCATGTGTGTGTAACTATTAAAGCTATATTTTTGTTCCTGCACCTGTGATAGATAGATAATTATTGTTGACAGTATGTTTTAAGGTGAAAAAATGCATAGCACACTCGGTTGGCCGATGTCCAAATACTATTTTATTAACAAAATAACGTTTCAGCAAAAAAAGCCTTCATCAGATATTTTTCTTGTCTTGGACCACAGCACAGAAAATGGTTGCCAGCCCAGGTGCCCATATACCCACTCAATGAATGGGAGGTCCCAAAGTGAGGTCACCCAGTGAGTTCAGCCCATTCTACAACAAGAAACAACAGTTTACATAAAAAAAACATTTTATAAAATACAGAAATAGTTTGTCTATCACAAAAAACATCTTAAATCAAACTCCACATTCAGTCCATGAGGAGTAAGAGTTTTAAGATGGTGAATCCAGAAGTGCTCTCTTTTTGACAGGATTACCACCTCTAGGGGGCAGTTCCACATGTTCAATGCCAATATATCTTAAGGAAGAGATAGGATGGTTAAAATCAACAAAATGAGCCGCCACAGGATAGTTCATGTTTTTACATCTGATTGTACTCCTCTGCTCTGCAATCCGTGTTTTTAAAGCCCTGCTGGTTTTACCCACATAAGCTTTACCACAGGGGCAGGTGATCATATAAATCACAGATTTGGTATTACAGGATATAATTCCTTTGATCGTTATTTCTTTACCAGTGTGAGGGTGCTTAAAACTGTTGCAGCGATATGTATAGTTACACTGACTGCACCCACCACAACGACGATTTCCATCAGGAATAGGAGTCAGTATAGTTTGGCATGATGTGGTTTGATTAGGAGGAAGGTAGGAGTGCACAAGTCTATCTCCAAGGTTTCTTCCTCTTTTATACACCACTAGGGGGTGCTCTTTGAAAGCCACACCCAATGAAGGGTCAGTTTTTAGTATATGCCAATGTTTAGTTATGATGTTTTTAAGTTGTTCTGCGGGTTTTGAGTATCCAGTAGAAAATATAATCCGCTTATTGGCATTTTTTGGAGGGTTGACCCTCAGAAAATCAGATCTAGGTTTTCCTTTAACTTTAGTGGCAGCATCATTTAAAATAGATTTCTTATAACCCCTTTGTTCAAAGTTTGTCATCATATTACTTAAATTTCTTTCAAAGTCATCAGTTTTGTGGCATATTCTTTTAAGCCTACAAAATTGGCTGTATGAGAGACTCTTTTTCAATGGAAGTGGATGTTGAGAGTCAGCTCTAAGTAAAGAATTTCGAGCTGTAGGCTTTTTATATAAGTCCGTGTACAGCTGATTACCCTCTCTGATGATCCACAAGTCCAAAAAACTCAAGCGCTGTTGATCATAATCCATGGTAAAAGATATATATGAGGAGCGCGAGTTCAGATAAGCAAAAAATGACTCAAGTCTCAATTTAGTACCTTTGAACAAGAAAAAATGTCGTCCAAATATCTCTTCCATAGACATATGTTTTCTTTGAATTCATTATCATGATAGATAAACTTTTCCTCAAACAGACCCATGTATAAGTTACAGAAGGATGGTGAGAAAGGGCTACCCATAGGTACTCCGTGTTTTTGAATGTAAAAAGTGTCCTGAAAAACCCAATAGTTGTTTTTCAATATAAGCCACGCCATATCCAGAATAGAATTCAAAGAGGGGACCTCAATGTTCAATTTGGTCACATAATGTTTCATTGCCTCAATACCCCCATCATGTGGAATGGAGGTGTACATAGTGTTTATATCAAAAGATACCAAATACCATTCCTCTTCATTGGAGACACAGTCTATAGATTCAACAAAATTTATCATATGACCTGTATCCTTTATGAAGGAAGGCAAAGCTTCAGCTGCAGGTCTGATAATACTATCAATAAAAATAGACAGATTAGATGTAAGTGAGCCAATACTGGCTACAATTGGTCTCCCTGGTGGATTTTCAAGGCTTTTGTGTATTTTTGGCAATATATGGAAAGTAGGAATAATAGGGTAGTCCACTTTAAGAAAGCTGGCAACCATTTTGTGTGCTGTGGTCCAAGACAAGAAAAATATCTGATGAAGGCTTTTTTTGCCGAAACGTTATTTTGTTAATAAAATAGTATTTGGACATCGGCCAACCGAGTGTGCTATGCATTTTTTCACCCTGATCTGGCTACTCCTTGCATTTGCACCTCTGCAGGAATCTTGGTGTGCGTTTTCTGTCTTTTTATGACAGTATGTTTTAAAACACGTAGTAATTATAAGGTAGAAAGTTACTTACAAAGAATAAGGAGACATTATTTTTATTTTCTATGTTCTCTTTTGAGTTTGTAATTTACCAGTATTATTCCTCTTTTTTAATTTTTTTTTTTTTTCTGGACAGAAGACAGAAGAAAACATCCAAAAATAGTACCATGGGAGGGCAGTAAGTTGTATTAGGTTATATTATAAGGCAGTACTCATAGGTACTAGTAATTATAGTAAATAGTAGTGCTCAAAAGCGTACTTTCACTACTTTTCACATTTTGCACACTTATGTGTATTTAATTTCAAGAAATATATATCATACAAATACATTTATTACAATTTTTTTAATGTCTGTCCTTAATGAAGGAAAGTGTGCCCTGCAGTTTAGTAAAAAATTGCCCATTACCCAGTTAAATCCAGCAGATGGCAGTATGTGGTCCTCATTTGTCAATGATTTTTTTTTTTTTTTTTACATTAAATCAGTTCATTACACCACAGTGGTTCAGTGGTTAAAGCAGTAATCCCCTCAACCCAAAGGTTGAAGCATCAATTCTCACCCAGCCAAGTTCTGTTGTGTTAGGCAAGACAGCTCACCCACCTTGTCTAGTGTCAACTAGTATTAGACAAGATATTATTTCATTCATTTTTACTTTTTTTTTTTTTTTTGTCACACTTGTTTCATCTATTACACTTATCCCAATGTTAATGACAGCATTATTGCAGCATTATTGTTTACCATGAGCCGTTAGTGACATTTTCTCTATACTAACAGAATGCATGTACTGGGGGAGGAGTGCCTTACCCTATTTCCTGTGATTGTAGTTGGGGTACTTCCCGTATTTAAACTGTGCTTATGGTCTTGACAAACACAGGAAGTGTGTCTAGATTCACACAAACCAACCACTTTCAGTCATAAAAACAGTCAATTTAGAGTACAAACAAGTGCACCATGTCTCTCTATTGAGCCTAATTTAGCTTGTGTAACGTTTGTATTTTCAGAGTTGAATTTTTGTTGTATTTTAGTGGTGAATAGTAGTACACGTTGTAAGTCATTTAGTCTATTCAGTCATTAATTTCATAACTCAACATTTCATCAAAACCTGAACTGCCATAAAACAAACATTTACAGAAGTAGTAAAATAGAAAAACTTGAAGAGTGAGTGCATCAGAGGGTCAAATCAAGCGTTAGGCAGGTGCTCTTTGAGGATCCAGGAGGTGTAGACTGGAAAAAATACATAGATCTGAGTAAAAGGTCTTTATTTAGGCAATGCACAGTGCTATCCTGATGTGGCAACCGAGGGGTTCAACACTCCGGGAAATGTTAAGTTTTATGGTGAGTTGCTGCAACAACGCCACCCCAAAGCTAGTTTGGGGAAATTAAATCTAAATGTAAGGCCCACAGGTAAGCATATCATTAAGAGAGAGAGCCAGGTTCCATCATTTGCACAAATCTTTATTTCTTTCTATTTTAAAAGACAGATTTAAGTGGTTTAAAAGTAGCTACGTCCATAAAAATCAGCAAACAGTAAAACACTACAGTGAGAGAACGAGTACACAATATTGAAAATGCAAAACAAAACCCCAAAACCCGAAGCAAAACTGAAGCAAAACAAAACAGAGCAAAACAAAATAAAACAAAGCAAAACAAAAAAC